TTCTTTCTTTTTCTTTCTTTCTTTCTTTCTTTCTTTCTTTCTTTCTTTCTTCGAGAGAGAGAGAGAGAGAGACAGCATCCCAACCAGGATCTGTGCTGTCAGTGTGGAGCCCATTGTGCCCAGTGTTCGTGGGGCTCCAACCCACGAACCGTGAGATCATTGCCTGAGCCCAAATCAAGAGTTGGACGCTTAGCCAAGTGAGCCACCCAGGTGCCCTCCTCCTTTTTTATTCTTTTTATTTTTTCTGAGTTGTTATCATTTCTAAGTGCTTTACAAATATTAACTCATCTGATCCTTGCAACGATCCTATGAGGTATAATTGGCTGGGGCAGATTGTATCTCCACTGTGAGCCTAAACCCAGAAGGCTGCCCAGAATCCCCTAACCAGCTGTGAACTTTCCTCCAGTACCATGCTTCATAGCAATGTTCTAATCAGTCTAGCTGTGAGGCCGGGAGGAGTTGCAGGTCTCCCCCTGAAAAGGGTCTCTTGCTCCTTGAAATAGGGGTGCTCTTGAACATTCAGATCCTGTCCTAGGTGCTTCCACAAAGCCTGCAGATTCTTGGCTGGAGGCCAGAAGCCCAAGAACACAAGGCACAGGCGGCCCTGGTGGTGATTTACTGAGGCACCAAGAGACCAGGGGCTTCTGTATCTGCCGCCCCAGGAGCCAGATTCCATCTTTGTGGCTTTCCATGCTATGGGAACTAGCAGTGGGATTGGAACCCTGCAAGGCAGGGGTCCCAGATTCTCCAGCAATAAGTACTGCAATGATAGAATTGATGGCTTGGAACTGCTGCCATAGGCAAACCCCCACCAAGCCTCTGGTTGTATCATTTGCATATCTGTACATCCTTGTTTAGTATGCCAAGGATCTTCTTGTAGACAGAATTGTCATTTGTTGATTTTTCTAAAAGGTTCTTTTGTCTCCCTTCTGTTCTGCTGGCACTACCACCCCTCCAACATCCATCTATTTATCCATTCTCCAAAGCATGCTGCCTGGGGCTGAGTAGTTTTGAAACTCCAAGTGGACAGTGCTCTTCCTCAGTTAATGCTTATTTATGGAGCTCCTTCTCTGGTGCTAAAGGAGGGGAGGTGGGAAGACCCAGATGACCTGGATCCTGCCCTCAGTGGCCTGCAATCCAGATGGGCTGTGTGGGCACATGACTCAGTAATGACACAGCAGTCAAGGCACAGTGAAGAATTATGTTCTTCCCTTCTGCAAATCAGCTGGGTAAGGCCAAGACAGCTTCAGGTATCAGTTCTGGGATGGATTAATGCAATTGTTCTCAAACTTTTACACTCAAAAATTTTGGAGGATCCCAAAAAGTTTTTGTTTATGTGGATATTATCTACTATATCTTGTATAATATAGCCTTCATTAGAAATTAAAACTGAGAACTTTCCAAAACACAAGCCTACATAAGCACACAATCCATTATTTGTCAGACTAATATTGTCACACATGATGCAACCTCTGGAAAATTCTGCATATTCAGGAGAGAATGAGAATGTAAAAGACAAATCTTAAATTTAAATCTTAAAATTTTTATGAGGAGAGTTTTTGATTTTGCAGATTGCCTGTAAAAGTCTAGGAGACCCACAGGGGCTCCCTGACCACACTTTGGGAACTGCTGGGGTACAGCATATAAGCTCTTTCAGCATCAAAGATTTGAAGATTCTAACAGAGTGCCTGGAAGTCTGTTGAAGCCTTGATCAGTGACAGGAAGAATTCTCTTTTTACAAATCTCTGGTGAAGGGGCGCCTGGGTTGCTCCATTGGTTGAGGCTTTGAGCGTCTGACTTTGGCTCAGGTAATGATCTTGCAGTTCGTGAGTTTGAGCCCCACATCAGGTTCTGTGCTGACAGCTCAGAGCCTGGAGCCTGCTTTGGATTCTGTGTCTCCCTCTTTCTCTGCCTCTTCCCCACTTGTGCACTCTCTCTCTCTCAAAAAATGAATAAACATTAAAAAAAATTTTAATAAAAAATATCTGATGAAGTAGGAAAGAACAAAAATAACTTTTTCTTTACTCTCTTAAGGTTCTGTTTTTGGGGCCTTCAAGTTAAACTGGCAAAAGCCATATTAACAGGAGAAAAGGCATACACATTTTATTTGATGTTAATATTTAATTTTTATGTGCATGGAGACCTTTGTAGAAAAAAGTGAAGACCCAAAGAAGTGGGTAGAACAGGTGCTTATACACTGTTTTAACAAGTGGCGATAATTTGTGGAGAAATGACAAGGCAATAGGTTTGGGTTTCTGGGGCAGTAAATTGTGGGATAGTAAATATATAGGGGAGACTAATAGAAGATAAGAGTTATGTTAGTAAGGTTTGTTTGTGCAGACCCATCTCAGAACAGCCCTTCTGTCTCCAATGATAAGGGTCGTTTTCCTGGTGTGGAAGATGAAAGGGGGAACTTGCACCAACAGAAGTTTATGTCCTTTTAGGCAGATAGGAGGAGAGCAAAGATCTCTGTTTGCTGCTTAATTGCCTTCCACTCAAAATAATTCTTATGCTGGGGCGCCTGCGTGTCCGTTAAACATCCAAGTTCTTCTCAGGTCATGATCTCACAGTTCTTGAATTCGAGCCCCACATCAGGCTCTGTGCTGACAGCTCAGAGCCTGGAGACTGCTTTGGATTCTGTGTTTCCCTCTCTCTCTGCCCCTCCCCTGCTCACACTCTGTCTCTCTCTCTCAAAAATAAATAAACATTAAAAAAATTTTTAATTATTATGCAAAAGTGGCATATTTTAGGGTGGCATGGTCTGATCCCCTTCAGTAAATAATAATAATAATAATAATAATAATAATAATAGGTTATACTAGATACTGAGCTAGCAGTACCTAAAATTCTCTCCTCTGGAAAGTTCTGGCAGCCTTAACATTCAGTAAGCACTGTTGTCCATTCCTAGACCATGCAATCAGGGAAGATACACCTTCCAATAGTTGAGCCCAGAGATTGTGTGAGAGGCCAGGCTTCCCTGGGGCATCAGCAGAGGAAACCAAAGAGCCAAGGCCAAAGGGGCCAAGAGAAAGGGCTGGAAACAGCTGCCTGTTCACCCCACTTCCCCCAACCCAGGCAGCAGAACAGACACCCCCCCCCCCCCCCACCCCCACCCTCAATCCAGAGATGAAAGAACAAAAAAGCTGCTTTGTGTGTCTGGGGAGAAGAGGAGGCTGTCCTGCAACAGAAGGTGGCACCTGCGGGGTGCAGCTAAGAGGGAAAGTGGAGGTGCCCCCGGCTGGCAAGGGTGCTGTGAGGCAAGGGACCTGTGGGAAAGGAGAAAAGGGTCCTGGAGAGCACCCAGCTCCTAGGATGCCAGGATACAAGAATTGACCCCAGTGAGGAGAAAGGATTCCTCTCCATTAGGTGGTGAGATAGTCCGAGGCTCCCACTCTGCCTCTCAGCCTCTGCTCCCTGCACCCTGGTGGGCTCTCGCTCTGTGTGGAACCATTGCTTCCTACACCAGGACACTAGCAATCCTTTCACCAGCGGGGCCGCTGCTTGGCTTGCTTGCAGAGCGGGCTTCTCAGTTTCTGGCATATCAAATCCCCCTTGCCTTTCCAAGCCCGACCTCACCGCCATGTCCCCTGGAAAGCTTCTCTGATCCTATCCAGTTAAAAGGAGACCTTTTTCCTCTGAGATCCCATAAACCTCTATTTAGCACTTAATTCTTCCTCTTTGTATTAAAAAAAGGAATAGAGGGGCGCCTGGGTGGCTCAGTCGGTTAAGCGGCCGACTTCAGCTCAGGTCACGATCTCGCGGTCAGTGAGTTCGAGCCCCGCGTCGGGCTCTGGGCTGATGGCTCAGAGCCTGGAGCCTGCTTCCGATTCTGTGTCTCCCTCTCTCTCTGCCCCTCCCCCATTCATGCTCTGTCTCTCTCTGTCTCAAAAATAAATAAAACGTTAACAAAAAAAAAAAAAATTAAAAAAAGGAATAGAGTCTGTCTGCACTAAATTAGAAACTCCTTAAGGGCCGGCATCTTGTCTCACTCACATTTGTTTACCCCTTCCAATGCCTAGCCTGGTTCCTTGTACACTGCGCGTTTTTAATTGATGTTCGTGGAAATACCTTCTGCATATTATTTCTTCCCATCCTCCTTTGCCCCACAACCTCTTTGGAAACCCTTGCATCCTGTCCTGAATCCTGACCTGCCAATTTGTGCAGGGGTGAGAGCTGACCCAGTAACAGGAGAGGGCAGAGGGAGCGGCAGGGGCCATGTCATTGCTCCAACCCCCTCCATCCTGTCACCATGGGCTTGGTGTGGCCCAACCTGCCAAGTGGGCACTTTGGACTTCTTTATACCCCTGTCCTCTCCACTGTGTCTTTCTACTTTGTCTTTACCCACTTTGTCCAATCCTGGCTCTTCTCACTCTGCCCCTAACCATGTCCACCTGAGGGGACATCCCACCTAAGAGTGGGAGAATGGGAAGATAAAGTAGGTCCTTGTTCTCCTCTTTTTGGCTGTCCTCTCCCCAGCTGACCTGTTCTTCATTCTTTACACAAATACCTTTCTTTTTTTTTTTTTTAATTTTTTTTTTTCAACCTTTATTTATCTTTGGGACAGAGAGAGACAGAGCATGAACGGGGGAGGGGCAGAGAGAGGGAGACACAGAATCGGAAACAGGCTCCAGGCTCTGAGCCATCAGCCCAGAGCCTGACGCGGGGCTCGAACTCACGGACTGCGAGATCATGACCTGGCTGAAGTCGGATGCTTAACCAACTGCGCCACCCAGGCGCCCCTACACAAATACCTTTTGAGCACCTACCATGTGCCAGGCACTGTTACAGATGCAAGGACCCAGCAATGAATGAGACAGGCAGACACCCCAGCTTTGTGGTATTCAAGAGCATTATCCCAGACATGACTAGGACTTCTGATAAGTGTCAGAAGCTGTTGAAGGCACTGGACAAGGAAATTGTAGAGATTTAGAGATTATTGGCAATGGGAATGAAGTTTTGCTCACCTCTGATGTCTGACCAGGACCATGCTTCCCTCTCAGGTGTATGAACTGAATGGGACTGTCCATAGCCAAGAGTGGTCAGTGAAGACTTACAGAGAAGTGGCTTGTATGTTTGCAGAAAAGCATCCTGGATTTATTGGAATGAAAATCATTTATTCGGATCACAGGTGAGAGAGAACACGGCTGAAGCTGCAGGATTTGGGAGAACAGGATGCAGGCAGAGCTACTAGACTTGGAAGGGAAGGGGAGGAGAAAGGGAGAAAGAGGGAGGCTGGGAGGCCGGCTTCAGAGACCCACCCTCCATGCCAAAGAGCCATGGCTTTGGCATGCATGTTCCTGCATGAGAGCAAAAACCTATCTCTGAAGTCACTTCTAGTTTGAATCTTCACAACCAGACTGAAATGAAGAAGTGTGGCAATTTTCCAAATAATTCTAGGCCTTGACCTCATGTCGGCCTGGGTGATTCAGTTATGGGTATGTTTTTGCCAGTATGTTCAGATAACTGGCCTATTTCTTTGTTTCAGTTGGCTGGTGGGGTTCTGCTTCATGTCAACCATGTGCTGTCCCTGGCTGTGTAGTTGGCCTTGATTGGTGACCCAGCCCTGAGTGACAGCTATCTCAGAGTCTGTGTGTGGATGTGTGACCTGGCAGTGAGAACAAGGACCCACTCTTTCTCCAAGCAAGCACAGAAAGCTTTAGAGCTTAGTTTCCCTTCTTAGTTTTATCCAAGGAAGGCTCTCTGTCAAAGGCAGGCCTGTGTAAGGACTGTGACCCACCTGCGGGGCTGGAGATGCAGGGGTGGCAAACAGATGGGGATCTGGGCAAACAGAAGTCAGTGCTTGGGGAGGGGCAGCTCAGCCCTAGAGGTTGGGCTCTGGATGGCAGTCATACTCCTCCCCGCCCCATTTCCCCTGAATCCCCTTCACCATTTGTGAGAACAGAGGCCTGCACCTGTGTGCTAGTCGGCCAGGGTGGAGCTTGCGGGCTGGGGCCCCACTGGTTCCCCTCAGAGGCTCTCTGGGGACCAGTGGCAGGAGGGTGTGAGGGCTGGGTTGCAGGTGGTAAATCCTCCTGTGATCCCTTAGAGGATCTGCAGGAGGGGGAGGCTCTGCAGGAGAGGGAATGGGCAGGCATAGGGAGGGGGCAAGAGAAATGTAGGCCCATAGAACTGAGGAACAAGTGAGCCAGCTGCTGTGCAGAGACCTTTGTCCTGTCTCAGAGTTGTGCCAGACTTTTCTTTTGGTGCTTCTGTTGTGCTGCTTGCCTCACCCCTATCCTGGGCTTGAACAGAGAGGGTACAGACAGAAGTAAGACAGTTTGCTTACATGGTTTCTGGAGTGCCCAGGGCCTTGCTGATTCAGCTGGAGGGAGAGGACATACAGTTGCCAGGTCCAGCTGACTCGACAGGGAATTGGGCATTCATACAATTGGGAATTGTAGCATTTCACAGGTGTCCAGTGAACAGAGAGATGGCCTCTGTACTTCACCCATTCCAGGAGCCTTCGTCTCGGGGATGCAGGGCAAGTTTCGGACAAGACCTCTTTGCTTCATACAAATGTGGACAAATGAAACCTATCCCATGGGTCTCCTTTCCTCACTTGTTGTTCAGACACCAAAGTTTCCTCTAGAACCAGCTGGACTCCTCAAAAGGGTGGATTTGGGTGAAATATCTCTCAGATGTATCCCCTGGAAGGGATCACAACAGCATGGGCAGGATAGACTCATGTGCTGAGGGTCTGAGAAGTGGTTACTGAGTAATCTGGACTAGACCAGCCCCAGGCACTGGGGGAGCTGCTCCGGGGTACGGGGTCCCCCCGGGGTACATAGGTCTGCCAACACCAAGTCACACTGTCTCCTATGCTTTTCTCTGTCTCTCCCACAGAGTCAAAAATGTGTCCTTCATCATGAAATCCATCCAAACAGCCATGACGCTCCGAACCATGTTCCCCAGGATGGTGGCAGGGTTTGACCTGGTAACAGACCCTACACAACAAAGCTGTCTGAGAGCAGGGCCCAGCAGGCAGCTCTTTGTGAAGGCCCTGGCAGCATGCACTGAAACCTTCTGCAGAGGCTCAGGCTGACAACCACAGGCCTGGCCAGGGTTTAGCACTGACCTTGTTGTAGGGGCCTGCAGGAGGATGATAGTCACAAGAGAAAGGAGAGCAGACAGGGCCAAAAGCCTGAAAAGGGGAGTTCCAGAATAAGGAAGGCATTCAATGAGGTTGGGTAGTAATGGTGGGCTCATTTCCATTTCCCTGCCCTCCATCCTCTTTCTAGCACATGTGGCCTACCTACACCTGCCTCTTAAAACTATAGCACATAGAGGGTGGTCTGGAAGCAGAGATGGGTCTAGCCCTGGGCAAAACTGTCAAGGATGGGAAAGGTGTCCTCTGTCCCTTTATCCATTTGCTTCCTCAGCTATTTTTAAAGCTGCATGTCCATAGTGGTGTCACTGCCTTGACCACCGCCAACCCCCCGCCCCCTCCCAAATCAAAGCCATAGCTGAGTTCTGATAGCCAGGGCACACTTCCTAGGTGGCAACTCATCAGTCTCATTAAGGAAGCTAAATTAGTTTGAATAAACTGGCTAAAAGGCACTCCTGACTCCCTCTTATAGGGAGGGAGTATATCTGTACATTTTACCTGAAACTGGGCTTAAGCTTTTGCTTTCAGAACATCCAGAGCTCAAAGGAGTGGATTTCAAGGAATCATTTTGTTTGTACTGGGATGCCTTCCTGGGATCTCTGGGGGGTGCTCAAGGATCTAGCCTCTCCAGAAAGGGGCAGAAGTTCCTCCCATCTCACCTTTCCCCTCTGTGTGCAGCCCTGACAAAGGGGGCTGAGAAGAAGAGCCTCTAGTATAGAACTTCCAGAACAGTTCATTCAAGGACTGTAATGGACAAGTTCTAGAGGGAAATTGGGGTAGGAAGGGGGGGGTAGATAGTTGTTCAAAGAGTCTACTTGCAAGTTCCAACTCTCTTTCAAGCCTGCACTCCATTCCACTACATTGAATACCTGTATTTGGCTTATTATAAAAATGTTCCATTGCCCCCCAACAAATTATAATAGGCATTCTGAAGGAGGTACCCATTTTATCCTAAGGCACCCTTACTCTTGGCATGCAGCTACAAGCCCTGGGGATATGTGTGGTTTAGTTTGAAAAGCGTAGTTTTGTTGTAGTTACAGCTGAGGCACTGAGTCACAGAGGGACCCTGCCAGGAAACTGACATGTCCAAGGACCCACAGGTAATGGGTGACAGCTGAGTCTGGAGCCTTCCTGATTCCTGGTCCAGGGCTCTTGTTCTCTCGCACTCTGTCTCCATTTTCTGTGGGTCTGTCAGTATCTCAATGTCTTGTTTTCTCTGTGTCTCTCTGTTGCTCTTGCTTTCTCCCTCACTCTCTGCCCACAGCAAGGAGTTCAGGGCTGAGCACAGGGACTTGGAAAGTGGTGTCAGAACACACGGTGGAAAGGGGTGGGAGGATACGAGATACAGCCTCTGACTGACTAAGCGGGGGGAATTATTTAGGGGTAATAATACACTTTCTTTTCTTTTCCAATTTTGCTGCTGGTCATTTTTAAAAGGCTATGTGACAATGGCCTCAAGTAGTAACGTCAGGTTATAAGGAAGAGTATTCACAGGCTATTGAGGGTACCATCAGCAAATTGAGGCATGGACCAATCAGACAGCTCCATGTCCCCTCCTCTCTGTCCTGCAGGTGGGGCATGAGGACACTGGCCACTCCTTGTATGACTACAAGGAGGCTTTGATGATTCCCACCTTGCATGGCGTTAAACTGCCTTACTTTTTCCATGCTGGAGAGACAGGTGAGCCATGTGGAGACAAGCAGGACAGAGGTGGGATGGATAGGAAAGCTCCTTATCATCACTCAAGAGAACTGATGGGATCCTGGGGCAGTATTGGTATTGTTGATAGTCATTTTATGGCACTTGTCCATTTCATATGGAGAAATATGTATTCCCCCTGGAGAAGGAATAACAATGATAATATAACAGTATCTGGCATTTTACATATATTATTTCTAATTCTCACCCCAGTCCTGCCAGGAAGGTGTTTTTATCCCAATATTATTTATTTTTTATATTTTAAACTGTACTTTATTTATTTTATTTTTTATTTTTTAAATGTTTTATTTATTTATTTTGAGAGAGAGAAAGAGAGCGTGGGTGAGCAGGGAAGGGACAGAGAGAGGGATAGAGAGAGAATCCCACACAGGCTCCACACTGTCAGCACAGAGCCCAATGCAGGGCTCAAACCCACGAACTGTGAGATCATGACCTGAACTGAAACCAAGAGTTGAACACTTAACCAACTAACCAATCTCTATCCCCATTTTATAGATGAAGAGCCCAAGGCTCCAAACATAGAGTACTTGGCCCAAGGGTAAAGAGCTAGTCTTTGGTGGAATTTGATTTTGAATTCTTTCTGATGATCTCCATTTTATAATCAAGTTGTGCTTAAGAGGTTAATTCACCTGTCCAAAGTCACACAAGGGTAAGTGGCAGAAAAGGGACTACAACCAGGCAACTAGGAGGCTCTGTCCACACTCATCAGTGCTGAAGAGGAGACCCCACCCAGCCCAGACAGCTTGACTACTATTGTTTATGAAATGCCATTAGCCCAGCCATGCCTTTGCTCCCTAAAGTTCACTCCACAGGTTCATAGGTCGTCTCTCAGAGCTTCCCATATTCCAGTCCTTAAAATATGTAAGTCCTAAGCAAAAGGAGTCCCAGATCATGGCTGCAATTTCAGGTTAAAATGAAGATTTGGGGGACTTAGATCAGGAGGAAATCTTGCTGCTACACCCCACCTGGTGTCCCTGAGTACTGTAGGCACCTGTCACCCTTAGAAGACCAAGGAGATAAGTGGAGAGCAGTGTGGGGGCTTGGATTTCACAACCAGGCTTAAACCTTGGTTTATCACACCATCTCTCAGAGGAAGGGTATGTGTGCCTTACTCTCTTATTTCCTGACACTTCAATCAATTTAGACCCAATTTAGATCAAAACTGTTCTAGGAAATTTGAAGAATTGTTTGTGGGGGATGGGGCAAGGGAGTAGGGGGATGTTAACCTTGAAGAGCTTGTGGTCTAGTTGGGAAAAATCATACTTACCTGTATGAAATCATTTCAGCAGTATGAAACACTGTAATAGGATCTAACCAAATTCCAAGACGAATGGCCCTAGGAGAGGATTTTGCCAGGAGCTGGGTATTTGATACCTGAGAGTAATGTTCTTATTTTTATTTATTTTATTTTTTTAAGTTTATTTATTTATTTTGAGAGAGAGAGACAGAATGTACATGTGAGGAGGGAAGGGGCAGAGAGAGAGAGAGAGAGAGAGAGAGAGAGAGAGGAGAGAGAGAGAAGGAGAGGGAGAATCCCAAGCAGGCTCTGTGCTGTCAGCACAGAACCTACCAACCATGAGATCATGACCTGAGCCAAAATCAAGAATTGGATGCTTAACTGACTGAGCCACCCAGGTGTCCCTAATGTTCTTATTTTTTAAAAGGAAGAAATCTTTGAAAAAAAAGTTCTGGATAGGAAACCAGTGAAAATCCACCTAAAACACATGCCCTAAAAAGTAATGGGAATTCTTGGATTTTATTCCTAACAGAACAGTGGAGTTTTCATATTTTATATGTGGGTCAGTTAGGATGCTTTTGGCTGCCAGGAATGGAATACACACATTCAATAGGTTTTACAACAAGGTCATCTGTTATTTCACATAATAAGCAACCTCTGCTGTTTTCATCAAGTTCAGGGTTTACCTTACTTGGTTGTCCATGAAGTCACATTCAGGTGAGACAAGATGTTTTCTCTAGGGTATCTTCTTTTATCAGGGAGGAAGCCCAAGATCTCCCCACCAATAACCTTCCAGGTCAGCATTAGGACTATCCTAGTTGCAAGGGAAGCTGGGGGAGTCAGGACCTGTCATTTTCACCCTCCAAAGAAAGCCCTGCTAGAAAGGAATGTACAATGGGGATGGCTGGTAAGTAGGCAGCCAACGCTATCTGCCACCACTTTGTCAGTACTGGTCATTGTGATCTGGCAATTGTCTTGCAATTGATATTGTTAAAGATATAAATTAAATAAGTACATACAAGTAACTATAGGGGCACCTGGGTGACTCAGTGTGTTAAGCGTCCAACTCTTGGTTTTGGCTCAGGTCATGATCTCATGGAGCCTGCTTGGGATTCTCTCTTTCCCCTTCTCTCTGCCCCTCCCCCACACTCTCTCTCTCTCTCTCTCTCTCTCTCTCCCCCTCAAAATAAATAAATAAACTTAAAATTTGTTTTTAATTATATTGAAAGAGTTTGCAACACATTGTTGTAAAAAATCATGAACAAAATTCCCAGAAAATAGCTCTGGAAACAAATAAAAAATGGAAAGAAAGAATATAGGCTGTGGATTCAGATAGACCAAGGTTTAAAACTGAGTCTTGCTACTTGAGTATGCTCCTTCAATTTACAAAGCCTATGTAAGTTTCAACTTCCTCATCTGTTACATACATACATAAAATAAAGGTTTGCCATACCTCCTCTCTTTTACCTCTCTTTAGCATTTTTATACGAAACTGTGTGTGTGTGTGTGTGTGTGTGTGTGTGTGTGTGTGAATGTTCTTTTACTTGCTTGGGGATCTGAAGCCTTTATCTGAGGATAGTCTATGGGCCAGATCCATCTGACTGGAGACTTCCCCTTTATCCACAGACTGGCAGGGTACTTCCATAGATAGAAACCTTCTGGTTGCTCTAATACTGAACTCTACCAGGATTGGCCATGGATTTGCTTTGACCAAACACCCAGCAGTCTGGGCTGACTCCTGGAAGAAGGACATCCCCATAGAAGTCTGTCCCATCTCCAACCAGGTATGCATGATCCATGGCACCAACCCAATACAATCTTTCTTTCCAACCTCAACCTCTGTTCTGATTCCCAAACTTTCCTGTATGATTTCTAGCTCCTGAGCTCACTTGTTTTCTATATTACTCTGCTGTCTCTCTCCCCTTAGTAAGTTATTTAGGAATGGCCCTTTGCCTAATCCATTCATAATGGCAGCAGTTGAGGCAACTGAGGCAGCAGTTGAGGGTCCCCAGTGGGGTGGAATTTGGGGCAAGTCTAAAAACAAAATTAAAGGGACATTGAGGAAGGCCAGTGAAGTAGGAGGGGCCATAGAATACTTTTGCTTTCACAGCTGCTTGAGGTTCTTTGTGCACCTGCCTCTCCTGCTGTGTTCCAGAGAGCTGCTCTCTGAGCCAGACCAAGAGAGAGACCAAATGTTTGTGAAGGTGAAGAATCTTGGAGAAAATTGGGAAGAGTATGAGGACTGGCTCTATTCCTTGTATTGTACCCAGAAGTCATCCCAATGTTTTTGGGTCAGAGTTTGTCTTTCTTCTTTGCTTCCTGTTGGGCAGGTTCTGAAACTGGTGTCTGACTTGAGAAACCATCCTGCTGCTGTTCTGATGGCCACTGGGTACCCCATGGTGATCAGTTCTGATGACCCAGCAGTCTTTGGTGCCAAAGGCTTGTCCTATGATTTCTATGAGGCCTTCATGGGTATTGGGGGAATGGCAGCTGATCTGAGGACACTCAAACAACTGGCCATGAACTCTATCAGGTGAGGGTCCTGTGTACTTCCCAGATCCCCAACTCCCTCTTCCACCTCACAACTTGTGTTTATCTCTAGTAGAGGTTTATGGCAGAAGCTTATAAGGTTTCTTTGGGTTTTCTCCACAACTCCTCTGTTTTGTTATTGCTCTCGGACTGGGGAGAAATGTGTTCTGCAAGCATCTGAGATCCCCTCATCTGTTTCCCAACCCTTTCTCCTGGGGCTGACCTAAGTGCCTTTTCTCCGCAGATTCAGCACCTTGATGGATATTGATAAAAAAGCTGCCATGAAAACCTGGGAGGAGAGATGGAATAAGTTTGTAGCTGACCTGGCCGGGAGGCCAAAGTGAGAAGACAGTCACTTATTACCCTATTCCTCTGCTTCCTTCTGTAAGCTGTTTTCACCTTCTGTCAATCATTCTTGAACCCACACCAGTATAGTTTCTACCTCCATTCCTTTATCAAAATTGACATCATGAAGGTCATCAATGGCCTCGACACTGATTATCCTCTCAGGAACACTTAAACATTCTACCAGACTCATCGTTTTGAAATATTCTTTTCTCTCAACCCCAGTGACATCAACGCTCTTGGTTTCCTCCTTTCTCTCTGGCCATTGCTTCTAGGGTCCCTTTGCCAGTTGCTCTTCTCTATCAGATTTCTGTGTTGGATTTCCTCAGGACTTAGTTTTGCCTCTCTTCTATTCATGTCTCTGCTTCTTCTCCTCTTCGTTTTCTCTTACTCTATAGTGTTTTCCTGGTAGTCTCATTCACTCCTTTGCTTTTAAATACTATTTATTTGCCGATGATCCCCAAATTTATTTATTTACTTGGATCCTTCACAAGAATCTCAGAAACCTACTATGTGCAATTCTCAATCTCTCCCTTTTAACCTTTTCCTGGTCTTTCCCATCTTGGCAAATGTCACCTCCATCCATTCTACCCAGGTGTTGAGAGCAGAAATTTTCAGTGAAATTGTTGATACTGCTCTCTCCCCTGTTCCCTGCATCAAAATGTATCTTGAATCCTCCATGCCTCTCTACCTGTGTTGCTATTGGCTGAGTTCAAACCACTATCACTTCTTGTCTGAGTTATAACGGTCTCTTAATTGAGCTCTCTTTCTTCTCTTTGACTTCATTTCATTTTTCACAGAGCAATGGCTTTTTAAAAATTAAATTAAATCAGGTTACACTGCTTACAACTCAGTGCTCTTAGAAAAATCCAAATGTTTCAACAGGGCATGTGGCATCCTGTTTAACCTGGATTCCTTTCAGCATCATCCTACCCCAGTCTCCCCCAGTGTACCAGACATTGGCCTCACTGGTCCTTTGTTCCTCAAATATCCCAAACCCTATGCTGCATCAGAGTCTTTTCTCATTCTTTCTGACTGGGATATTCTTTCTTTCCACTTTTGTCTGATTCCTGTTCACCCTTAAGGTTTCACATTTCATGTCATTGTCTCAGAAATGTTTCCTAGACCCCTAACCTATTAATATCTCTCATGGCACCTTGCTTTTTTCCTTCATGACTCTTAGCATAATTTGTAATTATATATTTATTTCTGTGTTGATAGTCTCCCTCCCACCAGACTGTAAGCTCCATGTGAGCAGGAGTAATGATTGTTTCATGTACATTGTGAACACAGAGCCTAGCTCCATGCCCCAAACCTAGTTAGTATTCAATAAAAGATGTGTTGAATGAATGGATATAACTGTATGCATTGAGCCAGTTGCTGAAGCAGGAGGGAACAGAGCAGAGTCTCCCCAAAAAAAGACCTCATGTGATCAAATTCTGGCTCATAGCCTAGTCTTCAGGAGAAAGAAGGCATGAAGCCATCCCTGTCTTCACTTGACTAAAGGATGTGGAGAAGGATCAAAAAATTCCTTAAAAGTCACAGATGGATTCAAATATATTCTTATCCATCAGCCATCACCTGATCTGAGTTCATAGGCAGCAGCCAACCATCCCTCCATTAGTAGTTTATCACTCTTTGGTTCATGACACTGGGAAAAGTCTTGTTGATTAGGGGTCCTCAACCACAGACTGGTACCCAGATGGAACAAGATGACCTTTAAGATCCTGTCTAATTCTGACAGTCTTTGATTTATTGCCTTAACCAATCCCAGTAGATAGCACATAGGTCCCAGCTCAACTGACTCACATTTAATAAATGGTGAAAATGGGAACTTAGCTGAATGGGCTTTTGTAGCAAGTTGCCATGACTACAGGGGTCTCCCAGGAGCATAAGGTCTCTGGCCTAGACTTGGTGTGATCACTGATTTGGCAAATTAAACCAGCTACAAGTCTTGTCTTCATGCTTGGTTCAATAGGCTGAGTCCTAGCAAAGAACTAGAAACATCAACAGAACCAGACCCTGAGTTATGAAAATGTGGGAAATAGGTTGTAGCCCCCTTGGAATGGAGTAATATTTCTTCTAGGGGTAGTTAAATCTGATTTCACGTATTCCTCCTGTAGGACTTCCCAGAAGGTACCCTGACATATGTTTTTTGGAAAAACTTGCATATTAATTGAATTTTTGTAAATGAAATCATGCTGTACCTGGGGCTTACTATTTATTTAAAGGAAATCTGAAGTAAAGCCTTCTGTTAATGAAATGTATTTTTGTAATTTGAATTCATGTAGTCTATATTTATTTATTTCTTAGAATGAGGTTAAATCCTTTTTTCTTCTTTGCCAGGTGAATTGTCTGGGCTGGAAAAACCTAATGTCCAGGGCACCAAGAGTCCCTGACTTGCCAGGCTTATTGTACAAGTCCCCATCATCTGGCTTATGATGAATGCCTTGGTCCAGCCCCCTCCTCCTGGGTCCTGGAGCTTTTCATCAGTTGGCACAGCTCCCAGGAAGGACAGGGAGACTTCTGGAAATTCAAACTGAGGGAATGTTGTTGGAGATGTGAATCATCTTATTTCCCAACAGGTGAGAATTTGGGATCCAGACTCAGAGAAAACCCTGGAGCATTTTTCTTATTATCTTGAAATAATGTGAAACCTTCAGAAAAGTTGTAAGAATAGTACAAAGAACTCTAACATACTCTGTCTAGGTTTCCCAATTATTGACATTTTATAACATTTGCTGTATCATTCTATGTATCTGTATCTCTTTCAATGTCTGCATGATAGATCCTATTTTTTCTAACCAATTGAGACTTAAGATGCAGACAGTATGGCCCATTACTTATAAACACTCCAGTCTACATTTGCTGAAGACAGTGTCATTCTCCTATGTAACCACAGTTTAACCATCCAAAGCAGGATATTAACATTGATAAGATACTACCATCTCTCCCTGGCCCTTCCAGGCATGTTTCTTCTCTCTGCCCAGAACCTGACCCAGGATCACATGTTACATTTAGTTACCTCTTGTCTCTTTCAGTCTGGAACAGTTCTTCAGTATTTCCTTGTCTTTTGTGATGTTGACATTTTTAAAAAAGTTTTTATTTATTTATTTTGAAAGAGAAAGAGAGAAAGAGAGAGAGAGAGAGAGAGAGAGAGAGAGAGAGAGAGAGAGCTTGTGCATGCGTGCAGGAGCAGAGGAGGGGCAGAGAGAGTGAGAATTCCAAGCAGTCTCCTTGCTGTCAACAGAGAGCCCACCTCAGAGCTTAATCCCACAAACCAGGAGATCATGACTGGAGCTGAAATTAAGAGCCAGATGCTCAACTGACTGAGCCACACACTCAGGCGCCTTGTGACCTTGATTTGAAGAGTACAGACCGGTTACTTTGTAGTGTCTCTCATTTCAGGCCTATGTAATGTTTCCTTGTGAAGAGATTCCAGTTACACATTCTTAGGAGGAATACCTCAGAAGTATCTTTGTCCTTCTCAGTGCATCATATCAGGGGACACATGGATTGTGTCCCCTGGAGGTGGTCTGCACCAGCAAGCAACAGCCAATTGTTAAAATTTCAGCCTGTTGTGAAACCAATGGTGGTCTGAAATTGGTCATCATGGGAGTTTTTGTAATATGTATAAATATATTTTAAGTAAGTTCCAGGCCCAACGTGGAGCTCAAACTCATGATACTGAGGTTAAGAGTCAGCCAGGCAGCTGGGTCATTGGAGGAATTTTTACATTACAGAAATCAGCAAATACAAATCAGTGTGCATCCAGCCCCCCCAGCCAGTAGTTAAACATTTATCTGTATACTGAGGCATACAATGTCAATCTGTCCCATTATGATGATGTTCACTTTAATCACTTTGTTAAGGAAATGTCTGCCAGGATTTGACACTGTAAAACTTTCTACTTTGTGATTAATAAATATTTAATGGGGAAACACTTTAACTCTATGTAAACATCTTATTCCTCATCAAATCTTTAACCCATTAGTTTTTGCAGTCACTGAAGATTATCATCTGAATCTTCTACTACTCCAATCATCACTGTTCCACTTAATTATTGCTGTGTAACAAATTATCTCGAAACTTAATGGCTTAAGAAATAATATAAATTTGTTAGCTCCTACAGGTTTTGTGGGTCAGGGATTTGGAAAAGGACCAGCTAGGGAGTTCTAGTTTCGGGGTCTCTCATGAGGTTGCAGTCAAAATGGTAGTGGAGGGGCGCCTGGGTGGCGCAGTGGGTTAAGCGTCCGACTTCAGCCAGGTCACGATCTCGCAGTCCGTGAGTTCGAGCCCCGCGTCGGGCTCTGGGCTGATGGCTCAGAGCCTGGAGCCTGTTTCCGATTCTGTGTCTCCCTCTCTCTCTGCCCCTCCCCCGTTCATGCTCTGTCTCTCTCTGTCTCAAAATAAATAAACGTTAAAAAAAAGAAAAAAAAATTAAAAAAAAAATGGTAGTGGAGCTGGAGCAACTGGGGGCTGGCCAGACATCTTGTTTCTATACAATCTCAGGGCTCAGCCATGGAGTGTCCACATCAGCCAGTGTGGGTGGCTCATGTGTGTGAGGAGGCCAAAGGCTTCAAGAGTAAGTGTTCATGTAGTAAAAGAGAAATGTTATTGTCTTTTCTTTTTTCTCTTTAAAAAATTTTTTTTAATGTTTATTCATTTTTTGAGAGAGAGAGAGAGAGAGAGAGAGACAGAGCACGAGTGGGGGAGGGGTAGAGGGAGAGGGAGACAGAATCTGAAGCAGGCTTCAGGCTCTGAGCTGTCAGCATACAGCCTGATGCAGGGCTTGAACCCACGAATTGCGAGATCATGACCTGAACCAAAGTCGGACACTTATCCGACTGAGCCACCCAGGCACCCCTGTTATTGTCTTTTCTTTCTTTCTTTAAAAAAAAAAAATTTTTTTTTAAGGTTTATTAATTTCTCAGAGACAGAGTGTGAGTGGGGGAGGGGCAGAGAGAGAGGGGGAGACACATAATCTGAAACAGGCTTCAGTCTCTGAGCTGTCATCACAGAGCCCAATGCGAGGCTTGAACTCATGGACAGTGAGATCTTGACCTGAGCCGAAGTCGGACGCTTAACCAACTGAGCCACCCAGGCACCCCTCTATTGTCTTTTCTAATATGACCTTGGAAGTTACATGGTATCACTTCTGCCATCCTTGATTGGTGATATCTCTCCAGTCTAAGCCTTCCCAGTTTCAAGAGGAGGGGACAGAGACCCCACTTTGACAGAAGACTATCAAAGTCACAATGTAAAAAGAACATGTAGGATTAGAGATACTGTTAGAAAATATTTTAGGGGCGCCTGGGTGGCGCAGTCGGTTAAGCGTCCGACTTCAGCCAGGTCACGATCTCGCGGTCCGTGAGTTCGAGCCCCACGTCCGGCTCTGGGCTGATGGCTCGGAGCCTGGAGCCTGTTTCCGATTCTGTGTCTCCCTCTCTCTCTGCCCCTCCCCCGTTCATGCTCTGTCTCTCTCTGTCCCAAAAATAAATAAACGTTGGAAAAAAAAAAAGTTTAAAAAAGAAAATATTTTAGAAAATATAATCACCAAATATTGATTTCTTCCATATTTATTAGTTGCCATTCTACTATAAGGAAGAACTTCCTCTATCTATCTATCTCTATCTATCTATCTATCTATCACTAGGGTTCATGGATCCTTATTCTATTCAGTGGACCATAATCTAACACTATCATCATTTCTTTTAAGATGCTTACACTGTTCCAGGGTTGACCTTGGGAAGGAACTCTGTTAAGCTGGTTCCTGTGACTCTAATAAATTCTTATGATTTTTTTTTTTAGAATTTCCTTACTTTTTGACACAATTAAGTATTTTAGGTTCATTTTGCACTTTCCTTGTCTCGTGCTGGATATGAGCTCTTCTCCAAAGAACTATGATTCCTTTTAGTAGAGAATACTTAGAAGCCTCGATTTGAGCATTAGATGTGCTCATTGTTACTGGTGCATGTGTGTATGCACACATAAATATGATTCATATATATGCATACATAACTATAATTTATATTATGACAAAGAAAATCACACTCCCAAAATGGTGTCACTTAGGCCAAGTCTCCATATTGGGGCTTAATACCTAACTTCACTGCAGTTTCAACTTGTGCCAGAAATAGAAGTCTTAACTGGTCAGTCAGGAATTTTCTGATCAGCACCAATGAGATAATCTGCCACATGGGCCCTCTCCATCCCTCAAAGATGAGGTAATCTACCTAATAACAGCCCCTGCCCTTCACCCTAAGGGAAGGTGACCTTGCCTGGAACAGTCTTCACTTTTGTTAATAACTTCTTGCCCCACTGTCTTTCTTATAAAAACCTTCCATTTTGTACAGCTCCTCAGAGGTCCCCTCTACTGCTAGATGGGAGGCTGCCTGATCCTGTGAATTGCCTAATAAAGCCAATTAGATCTTCACATTTACTCAGTTGAATTTTTTTTCATTAACTGTATATATTAAAACTCACATGCATAGAGGCACATGGGTGGATCAGTAGGTAGCATCTGACTCTTGATTTCAGATTAGGTCATGATCCCAGGGTCATGGGATTGGGCCCCCCATCAGGTTCCATGCTCAGCACAGAGCCTGTTTAAGATTCTCTCTCTTTCTCTCTCTCCCTCTGCCCCTCTCCCCCACTCATGCTCTCTTCCTCTCAAATAAAACACACACACACATATTTATACATATACATTTATATCTATTTCCAAATTTATCTGTGTGCATTTAAACACCCTTAATTTGCAGGGTGCCTCGGTGGCTCAGTTGGTGGAAGCATGTGACTCAATCTCGGGGTTGTGCATTCCAGCCCTATGTTGGGTCTAGAGTTTACTTTAAAAAAAAACACAGACAAACCATGAACATGTACCTATACCTCCAATTCCATTCAATACCATGAGTTTATTCTGGCCTCAGCCCTTCCCATGTCTAACTCTGTTCCCCAACAGTGAGAAATCTGGTTCCCCCGTCCTCAATGTGTCTTTATAGTTACTGATTCCCTGTCTGTGTTGTCTATCTTTACCCCCCACTGCCACCTCATCTGCAGCTGGCTCTGCTGATACCTCTGGTCCCAGATGCCTCAAGGAAAGGGAGGGGAAGCTATACACAATAGGGAAGGGAAGGAAAGAGAAAAAGACTTGGAAGGAGACAAACACAGGGACATTTTAGAGCATGAAGAGATCATTAAGTGATCATTAAATGAACAGATTCACTATGGTGTTACTGAAGCTCTCCTTTCAGGGGCTTGCACTTCATGGATCTTTTCTAAGAGAAATTGTGTATTAGTGATTTAAAATTCTTTGTCTTGGGGGGCGTCTGGGTGGCTCAGTCAGTTAAGCATTTGATTTTGGCTCAGGTCATGATTTCATGGTTGGTGAGTTCGAGCCCCACATCAGACTCTGTGCTGACAGCTGGGACCTGGAGCCTGCTTCAGATTCTGTCTCTCTCTCTCTCTGCCCCTCCCCCACTTATGCTCTGTCTCTCTCTCAAAAATAAATAAACATTTAAAAAATAATAATAAGATTCTTTTTCTTTAAGAAGGTCCTTCAAATATGTATAAGCCCCAGGGTCCCACAAAATCTGGATCTGGGGTCTTTCTCTAGGTCAGCTCTTCATTTGGAATAAGGAAAACAAGGGAAGGTATGTTGAATTGAAAAGACTTGCAAAACTGAGAAAAACATTATAGGCTCTCAGCCTGGAAGGGATCCTGAAAGTTATCTAAACCATCACCCCTTGTGGAAGAGCTGCCCCAAATAATCAGGAATAATCAGGCCTGCTTAATTTTTAAAGCTCACCAGAATAGGATTCTGTAACCTGCCCCAGTCACCCAGTCTAGAATCCCAGAATGTCCCTTTTCCCAAGGTCAGGAGTTTGAGTGACTGATGTGATCCTTGCCTCTCACAAGAATTGATCACTAGAGGATTGGATATATATAACTGCATCTATAGACCAGCATTAAGTTAGCATGCTAGATTATAAATATTATTTTCACATACATAACATATGTTACTTTGCATAGCTGTTATTCAAAAAATAACTTAACCTTCCTGGTCTTTTCATCTCTGTCCAGGAAGGGTGTAAATAGAGGTGTGGGAGCTGCTGGCTGTCTGGGAGCAAGGTGGGGACCGGGAGAAATTTTGAACTGGCTTTGCCAGAGAAATATCCATAACACTCAATGCTTACAGGTATTACTGTCTCCAGGGCAGAGCTGCTGAGTCTCATTTTGTCCCAGCTTGTAGCCAAGAACCTTTTCCTCCTCTACCTTCAGGGTGTCCTGGATCTAATCTTCCAAAGGGAACTTGCCTGGGGACTGTCCTGAAACCACATGTTAGGGGGATGAGATCTGTCTTGGTCCAGCCAGACCTTCCTGGGGCTAAGCCCCTTCTGGGGTGGGAAAGGGTAGGAAGACTGGAATTTTTAGATTCATAGAATATCAGAGCTGGGAGAGGCCTAAAGATCATCTTATCTAACTCTTTGTGTTACAGAGGACTCAATTAAGGCTCAAGGAGGGTAAACAGCTCCCTCAAGGTCACAGGGTAGGTGACAGCAGGTTTCCAGAGTCTTAGGTCTGGGCTCATACAACATAGGGCTGTTCTCTTCTTGTCTGAAGCACCTCTCAGTAACAGGTTTCCATAAACTCCTGGTGAGCCTAGGTCAGTTCTCTGGTTCAGACGGTGGAGTTTGGGCAGCCTCAGCCCCTTAACCCACCCTCAGACAACCCCTCCACCCGTACCCTTGCTTAATGAGGACAGAACCATTAGACCTACTGGGAGCAGCGATTTTCCTCGTGGGACAGGCTAACCCCTCCTGTGACCCCTGGCTCTCCTTTGGCGGAGTTCCAGTCCTGGAAACTGGCTTAGTTTCCTGTCCCCCACCAGCAGAAATGGATTGATTCTTGGAGCTCAGGGCCTCAGCCTAAGGGCCTTCTCTTTGTCTAGGGTCTCCAGGCAGAGCGCAGCTCCAGAGAATCTCCACCAGCCCCCACCTCCACCGCTCCCCAGCTTGCAGACAGCTGTGGCCCTCGGAGACCCTCGTGACTGCCATTTAGTGGGAAATGGCCCGAGACAGAAGCATGTGGAAAGCAAATGGCGATTAGTGTGAGACTGAGGATAGCAGGAAAGACCTTTCCCGGCGGGAGCCTCGTCCCGTCACCTGTGGCTGGCGGCGGGGGGACTGCGGCATGCTGCTGACCCCTGGTGGCCACTTGCGGTACCACAGATGCCTCCAAGATCTACGAGCACCGTTTGGTTCCCTTATCCTCTGCTGTCGCCTCCTGTCACTGCTGGGAGTAACACTTCATATAATAAGTTACAGTAATAATACTTTCTGATTGTAAAACATGCTTATGGTAGCAAATTTGTGAACTTTAAAAAGTATAGATGAAACAAAAATCACCCATACTTCCACTACTGTTACTATTTTGGTCCATTTCCTACCCACAGTAAATAGTCCTCAGGATCTCATTCCAGCACCATCTCCCCGCCCTACCCCCTCCCTGCTTCTGCCTTATTACCTGCCACTACCTCACTCATATGCTTTGCTTTTGCTGCCTCAGCTCCCCTCCCAGGTAGAAAGGCCTGTTCTTGACTTTGGGACGTCCTACTCTGTTGCTCTGTACAAATTTAGAGTACATAGTACAAGATGAGGGAATAGTGCCATAATAATTTTTAAATTTTATTATATTTAAAATAAAAAATTTTGAATACGTATGCAATATCATTTCAAACATTTTAAAAATGTGAAAAGGATAGATTGGAAAGTCTTAAGCCTGTCCCAACTTCACCCCATCCTCCTTCCCACCACACCCATTTTTCCCACCATACGTATTAGTATTAGTTTCTCATGCTTCTTTATGCAAAATAAACAAATGCAAATATGAATATTCTGTTTCCTCTTTTCTGATACAAAAGGCAGCATATTATGCACACTGTTCTCGGCTTTGCTCTTTGTGTTTAACAATATGCCCTGGGGATTTTTCCATTTTGGGTCAGGGAATACTTCCTTTTTCTAACTCAGTGTTTCATTGTGGGAACATGCCATAGTTCAATTAACAAAGCCCCTACAAGTTGCATCTGGATTGCTTTCAAATATCTCTTATTATAAATACTGCTGCAATAGAATAAGTACCTACTTTGTTCAGTGAATGAAGAAAAGGCCAAGTAACAAGAGCCTTGTGAACATTTCCCTGGGTTCATAGACTTGTGTGCCGCTCCCCCCCCCCCACTGCCATTCTTTCATGACAGCAGCTCAGGTGAGGCCTAGAGAAGGTGCTAAATCATCATCCCTGCACTGGTTGGTGGGAAGCAGGGTCTTGGTTTATAGGTCATAGGCCTGGGCCAGGCAGGTTAGAAGTAGAAATGGAACAAAGAAAAATATGCAAATGAGATTTTTAAGGAAAAATGAGGCATCAGTTTTCTTTTCTTTTTTTTAAGTTTATTTATTTATTTTGAGAGAGACAGAAAGAATGCAAGCAAGTGAGAGGCAGAGAGAGAAACCTAAGCAGGTTCTGTGCTGTCAGCACAGAGCCCGGCATGGGGCTAGAACCCTGAAACCATGAGATCATGACCTGAGCTGAAATCAAGAGTCAGATGCTCAACCGACTGAGCCACCAGGCACCCTTCAGTTTTCTTTTCTATCAGACACAATTTTCTGTAGTACATACGGGGCTCTTGCATCACTGTCTGCTCTGGAAAGGGGTGGAAGGCCAAGGGATCAATGCCTTAGTTGGTGAGCTCTGGTAAAGGCTTATTTATTTATTTATTTAGAGAGAAAGCACAAGTGGGGGGGGGGGCAAAGAGAAAGGAGACAATGAGAATCCCAGGCAGGTGCTACGCCTGACTCGGGTGCAAGATCATTATGTGAGCCAAAGTTGGATGCTTAACCGACCGAGCCATCCAGGTACCCGGAAAAGGCCTTTTCCTGAACCTCCTCCTTCACTTGCTTCAACCATGTCCTGATGCTTGGAGCTCATCTAAGTTCCCAGACGTCTTTCAGAAAAGCCCTGCTCTTCTTTAGCCCTGAATAACTCATCTAAGGCCAAGTGCAACAAAGGAGAATAGGGGTGCCTGGGTAGCTCAGTCGGTAGAGCGTCTGACTTCGGCTCAAGTCATGATCTCCCAGTTTGTGGGTTCAAGCCCCACATTGGGCTCTGTGCTGACAGCTCAGAGCCTGGAGCCTGTTTCATATTCTGTGTCTCCCTCTGTCTGCCCCTTCCCCACTCATGCTCTGTCTCTCTCTGTGTCTCAAAAGTGAATAAACGTTTTAAAAAAAAAAAAGCAGAATAGAGTGATGGAGAACAGAACCTCTTCCCAAAGAGGGAAGTGGACTGGGCTGTGCACTCTGCTCTGGATTGATTCCCATCCAGGTGACTGCGCAGACCTGCCTGGACATAGGAGTCATTTGAAAAGACCAATACAGGAGAGAGAACAGAGTGCTGGCCCTGGAGGTCTGAGCTCTAGCTCATGTGAGTGTGTGTGTGCATTGACCCTTGTCAAACCTGCTCACAGCCTCTGAAGTCAAAGAGCTCATTTTTGTCACTAGAGGTGCTGGGCTGAGTGTTTTGTTTATTTAAAAAAAAAATTATTGTCAAGTTAGCTAACATACAGTGTAGTCTTCGTTTCAGGAATATATTCTCATGATTCATCACTTACATACAACACCCAGTGGTTATCCCAACAAGTGCCCTCCTCTATCCCATCACCCATTTCCCCTACCCCCATCAACCCTCAGTTTGTTCTCTGTATTTAAGAGTCTCTTATGGCTTGACTCCCTCTCTATACCTTATTTTCCCTTCCCTCTCCCCATTGTCTTTCTGTTAAGTTTCTCAAATTCCACATATGAGTGAAATCTTATGATATCTGTCTTTCTCTGACTGACTTATTTTGCTTAGGATAATACCCTTCAGTTCCATCCAGGTTGCTGCAAATGGCGAGATTTCATTCTTTTTCATCACTGACTAGTATTCCATTGTGTATATATACCATGTCTTCTTTATCCATTCATCATTCGATGGACATTTGGGCTATTTCCATTCATTGGCTATTGTTGATAGCACTGCTATAAACACTGGGGTACATGTGCCCCTATGAATCAACACTCCTGTATTATTTGGATAAATTCCTAGTAGTGCTATTGCTGAGTTGTAGGGTAGCTTTATTTTTAGCTTTTTGAGGAATCTCCACACTGTTTTCCAGAGCAGTTGCACCAGTTTGCATTTCCACCAACAGTGCAAGAGGGTTCCCATTTCTCCACATCCTTGCCAGCATCTGTTGTTTCCTGAGTTGTTAATTTTAGCCACTCTGATCAGCGTGAGGTGGTATCTCATTGTGGTTTTGATTTGTATTTCCCTGATGATGAGTGATGTTGAGCATCTTTTCATGTGTCTGTTGGCCATCTGGATGTCTTCTTTGGATAAGTGTCTATTCATGTCTTCTGCCCATTTCTTCACTTGATTGTTTGTTTTTTGGGGTGTTGAGTTTAGTAAGTTCTTTATAGATTTTTGATACTAACCCTTTATGTTATATGCCATTTGCAAATGTTTTCTCCCATTCTGGAGCTGTGTGTTTCTTAGAGACCTTTCTGGCTTTGACATTCTGTTCTCCTATGCTCTTAAGGAAGAATTAACACTGTAGGAAGAAACCATGTTCTATAGGAAGGCCAATAGGAACAGTGCATGGGGGAAGGAGATATCATCCTTTTGGGGAAAAAAAATCAAACCCTGAGTTAATCTTGGAAGGAAACCTGGTGAGGACAAGTTGGGTAACCATACAGCCTGGTGATCTGAGATGAGGACCAACTCCTTCTCTTATGCTCTGCTTCAGGAGTAATATGGCAAAGACTGATGTTGTCTCATGGTATATGTTACCCCTGTATCCTTAGAAATAGAGACTTATGATTTTCAGTTGGACACATGGCTGCCTGAAATGAAGATTACCATTCCCAGCCTCCTTTGCAGCTGCATGTGGCCATATGACTAAGTTCTGGTCAATGGTCTGTGAGTAGAAGTGTGTATATAACTTGTGGGAGGAGTCCTTAAAGGGACCAACTGTCTTCTATCTCTTCTACCTTCTCGCTAGCTGAAATGTTGATGTGATGATTAGAGCCCAGGCAGCCATATTAAGCCATGAGATTAAAGCTAGATGTTGAGGTGTATGCTGAAAAACCAATGGAAGAAGTCTGGATTCTAACACCTGTGTATCACTCTGCCAGCCTTGGATTGACTACTTCCAGCCTTTATTTACATGAGAGACAAAGAAATGTTTCTTATGTTGAAGCTATTGCCACTTCGGATTTTATGTTTCTCATAGCTAAACTCAATCCTAATTATACCAAATATAGTACCTGGAAGTTGAGTGCAGCATGTAAAATAACCTAAAATATGGGGCTTTTGTTCTGTGGAAGCAGAGAAACAGTAGAGGCGTTATAAATCACTGGCTAGTAGAAAGCTAGTAGCATGACTCAATATAGATCTATTCAACCTGTTGTCTGTTTTCCCTGGAAGACAGATCATGCACCAGTCAAGGCTATACATAACATTATACAGAGAGGAAATAAAAATTCACAATATTGGTATTTTCTGGCTGCTTCTTGCCACTTTCAGGAAGGTCAACTCTAGACAAGGGTGGACACTTGGTAAGCAGAGACAGATGGGAATGAGAATACAGCTTTGCTCAGGAAGGTGCTTTCTTCAGGAGACCAGTATCTAAGTTGGTGATGTCAGGTCGAACAGGCCAGCTGCTTCCATATCTCAAACTGCTTCCAGCCTCAGCAGGATAAGACGAGTGCCTCCTCATTCAAAAGTAGAGAGACTGCAGCAGACATGGACAGAGAGGACTGAGATTTTCAGTCCTCTGCCCAAGCCCTTTCTGCTCAAGGCCTACATTTCCTCCAGCCTCATGGAGGCTGCCATTAACTTGACATAGAAGGGACTGTCAAAGCTCAAAATCCAACTGGTAGAAGACCAGAGTCTTCAGGCTTAAAAAGTATAACTAGGCATGATCTTTGCCATGGTGTTACTCTCAGTGGAATGAACTGGATGCTTACTAATTTTTTGAGTTAATTGTATTTCCCCAAAACTATAAGCCACATATATTTGGAAATAAAAATAAATATACTATATATATGTATATACATACATACATACATATGTATGTATTTGTGTGTCCCCCAATTCTTATACAAAGTGTAGCCTAATATGTATACTTGACTTTTTTTTAACTTTATACTATATACTCAGGATTAATCCATAATCTGCATAGTGATGTCACTCATTTCTTGGTTTGACTACACAGTGCTCCATTGTGGAGATGTCCTGTGGTATATTCAACCAATCCCCCATGGTGGACACTTAAGTTGTTTCTTTTTTCTTTTTTCTTAATTGCAAGTAATGCCACAATGAAAAAGTCATGAATAAATTAATTTGTATTTCTACAAGTTTGGGAAAGAGTCTCAAAATGGGATTGATGGGTCAAGGAGAAAATGCGTATGTAATTTTGTTAGATATTGAGAAATTTCCCTCCCTAGGGGTTGTAGAATCCAGCAGTAAATGAGAATGCTTGTTTCCACATGGTATTGCCAACAGAGTATGTTATCAAACTTCTTGATTTTTTACAATCTGATAATAAGAAATGGTATCTCAGTAAAATATTAGATTGAATTTCTCTTATGAATGAAATGAACTTTTCATATGTTTAAAGTCTGTTTTCATTTCTTCTTCTGTAACTTGTTTGTCTATATTTTGCCCATGTTTCTGTAGGGCTTGGTTTTTGGTATTTTCCTTTTGCTTTTCAGGAGTATTGTATAGTAGGGATATTCAATCTTGAGCTGTGATATCAAGTGAAATCATTTTTTCCCCACCTTTTCATTTGTCTTTTGACTTAAC